AATTTATAATATATTTTTAATCGGATTATTATTCATTTGTCAATTTGTTTTAGGTGTTATTGGTTGAGAGAAATGAGGTTGGTTCAATGCTTTACGTGTAGTCGAGAAGATGAGTTTGATTTAATTTTGATTGAGTATCCAAGATAATTATCAATCTCGGTGTGCGTAAATTGATTATTGTTTGATTTAATTTGTTGTTGTGTAATCATTTGAAGTATTTCTTAATTGAAAAAGGTGCAATTTACAAGAGAAACTTTACCAAAAAAATAGATATTTAGAAAAATTATTAATTAAATAATTTTGTGTTGCCTCAAAAATTTTAGACGTGTTGAATTTTGTGTCGGTGGTAATTTCGAGTATCAAGAAAATATCAAATTTACAAATTTTTATTATTTTTAATTCCTAACAATTTATAATATATTTTCAATTGAATTGCTATGCATTTGTTGAACTATTTCGGGTGTTATTCTTGAGTTATGCCTAGTGGATTAGGCATATTTGTTCGCAATGTCGATGGTCCCGATGTTGTCATGTGACCGATAGTGGCGGTGTATATGGACGTGGCATTGCTAGTGCAACTATTTATGATTGCGAACTTAATAGTGGTGCCGACATGTCCGCATCGCCTCCAAGTAATGCCTTTACTCGGTTATGTCCTCATCGATAGTGCCTCTTGCTATGAATGATCCCATTATAGTTTCCTCAATTCAAAGAAGTTCTACTTGGATTTTATGATGGATGAACCATTTGGGTTATGAATAGCTAGTAAATAATATATTTTACATGCAATAATTGTTTTCATATGCTATATTAGAATTATTAATTCACTTATTTATTAGTTATTTATTTTGTTCAATAGTTTGGTTTCATCAAGCAAGTACTCATAAAAATTATCTTAATTTTTAAAAAGCGGTTGGACACCGCTAGCTCCGGATGAAAGTTTATCTCCATGGAAACGATAAACTTCTACTTTGATAAGTTTAGGATAACAAATTAACTATTTGCTTATATTTCATTTTAAAGTATCAATTTAATGTGAAAAGTACTAAAATTATTTATTTTCTTCATGTAGAAGTACTTTTTTATGCGATGTGGTTGTCGACGCATTGATTAAGGATGCATGGGAGAGTCTAACATAGAGAAGATATGACGATATGCTTAACATGCTAAAGCATAAAAGTAATAGACATGTGTTTGTTAAATAGGAGGTGTGGGAAGCATGGTGTCATGATTGGGCCACTCCGAGTATCATGCCCGATCTTAAAAGACGTATCGAAACCGCATGTTGAAGACGGGTGGTGCTAGCCCATCCAAGTATACTAGAGGATTTGTCTTCTTGATCAAACACGTCGAGTGTTTGATAAATCCTATGTTATCCATTGAGTTATAAATTAATTTTTGTATTTAGTTCATCTCATATTATTTTATTTATTTATTTTAGCATAATAAATTGGGTCGTAACTCAAATCCTCACGAGTTGTTCGTAACCACTCACAAGCGTAAGGATGAGATATTCATTGACAAGCGATCGTAGACAATAATGGTAAGATTTTATGTTTTTTTTCAATATATATACATCTACCGATATAATCTAAAATATATATTTTTGATTTAATATTGTAATTATTTCAATGATATGTGAACGCGTACGATCAATGCAAGAAGTAACTATTACGAAGTGGCGGGAGGGTGATTCATCGTCTTCAAATATCGACATGTCTAAGATATATTTTGATGTCTGTCGGAGAGAAGAAGAAACGAGAGAGCGTACGACATCGAAACTTATGCATCTTAATATTACTCACATTCCGGCGCTAGCTCATTCTCCGTCACTTCGCGGTATTCCGATGGTAATGTCCAAGAGGTTTCTATCTAGTACGAAGATAGTATCAAAAGGATGGAGGCTACCATTCGGCAACGAGCCGATTAACGAGCATATAGAATCGGTTGCAAAAAGAAATGAGGTTGTTATAGAACCTCTAGTAGCCTAACATCCTCTTGCTTGGTCCTCTCACAATCTAGGTGATAGCCATTCCTCTCAACACCCAACGACTAGAAGATGTAGAAAATGATGCTAACGAGGACTAGATTTTTTTTTAAAAAATTTTTAATATTTTTCTACACCTTAAAACATTTATATATTTGTTTTATTTCAATTTATATTATTTTAAATTGATTAAATAATATATCATATTTTAATAAGGTATTGTTTATAGTTTTTTGTTATTACAATTAACAATATATGACTATTTATTTTTAAAAAAATAAAAATTCATTCATTTAGCGACGGATTTAGCAATGAAATTGCAAGAACATTTAGCGATGGATACATATACAATCACTAAATAGATATAGAATTGCAAGTATTTTTGCTACTATAATTTAACGACATGCCATTCCGTTGCTATTTAACGATAGATATAAGTGAAAATAATGATAGCATGATGACGGATGTGAGACCAAACAAACAACTATTTTAGATTGATTTAACGATGAAAATTCAAAAAATTAGAGATGGTCAATTCATTGCTAATCAGTGATGGAAAAAAAATTTGATCGTTAAGAAAATAGCAAAACCACTATATTAATGATAGAATTAAAATTGTCTCTAATCCGTTACCGGTGGTATATTGGGATAGATTTTTGACATATAGCTATCCGTCGCTATATATTGGATTTTTTGTAGTGTTACCTCCCAAAGAATATTCTCCTAAATTTCTTGGACTTTTGAAATACCTTTATGGCCATGCAAGTCATATATAATTCTAGCTAGCTAGCTAGCTAGTCTCTTTAGAACTCTCCCTTTTTCGATTGGAAAGAAACAATTTTACCTCATTCGTATGTCCAATTTTAGGTTCTTGTCGCAATGAAGTTCTTTAACGTTCCTAACTTTGACCGCCTACGTCTTAATTTTCAGACAAGTTAAACCCAGCAGGAAATATATATGTTGTACGTGTGGGCACAGACTGTTTATGTTTATCCATGCTGCAAGTCATTGAGACAAATTTTCAAAGAAGTGCACGTTCTTCATACAGGTTTTTTTCCTTATCTTCTCTTTTTTGGCATGATTCCATCCTCATTCACATACCTTTGCCAACTAATAAATTCCTGCCACCTAACATCCGTCACCATGAATACCAGGCCCCCCACCTCCTACAAATTACAAATCTGTTTAATTAATCAGTTGTTCTTGGATTACTTATTTTGTTAAGTTAAAAATAACAAATACGGCACAACTCTATACTTGTATCAGACGTAGAATAATATTGATTTATATCATTATATTTAATTAGGTCAAAATCTAATTAGTTATCATAATAAATGTGTTTTTTTTTTTAAGACCTGTGTCGTTAAATACTATTTACCGTAACAATAATAATAATAATTCGACTTGAAAGGTATTTAAAAAAAAAAAAAAAAAAGATAATAATCTTAGAGACTCTCCAAATGAACACCTGATTGTTTATTTTGTTGAAAGTTGGAGGTCATAGCTAGCTAGACTAAATAATTCATTGAAATGAAGAAGGAGGTGAATGAATTGAGAACCACAAAAATATAAGCAGAATGTGAACCAAGTAATAGTGGTCCTGGCAATTCCAAGCTGGGTTCATGTACTGTGATGCTGCATGCAACTGTCAAGATAGTAAGGTCACATCTTACACTAAAATGGAAAGAGAAGGTTATGTGGTCTACCATACTAATCCAGCTATGAGAGAAAGTAGACAGGATTTTCTTCAATCTTCAATCCTGAACTAGGATGCATTTTTTTTTTTTTCTTCTTCCTTTGAAGGATGACAGATATGAAAAGTTGTCAACTTGTTATCATATTTTTCCCCCAACTCTTTCAATGTAACTTTATATTTATTGTTATTTCATAAATGCAAGAGTTGAGTGTTTGAACCAGTTTTCTCACATTAAACCATTCCACAAAACTTAATTTAAGTTTTAGGTTGAGTGCCTCTTTGATATGATATCAAATTCTGTCTTGTTCGGATGCGTCGAAAATTTTATTGAACTTTTAAATATACAGCACAGGAACTCATGAAAAAAAAAATGTAGGAACTTGAATAAAAATTTTCACAAAATACAGCCATAAAATAGGTGATCGATCATTTCTTATTCCCAAAATTATCGCAAGCTAGAAGTAGAGAAATTTGCATGAAATACAGCCTTGAAATTAATTGTTATCTGCCTTTTTTCTTTTTTCTTCTGCAAAATAACAATGAAGCAACAGGTGGAAGGCCTGCCACATCAAAGATGAAGATCAATTATTTTATACATTTTCAAACTATTCAATCATTTCACTGAACTATTACCAACTATTTAGATGTTGCTTCACAGTTCACACAGTAGACTTCAAATGGACTCCATGATAAATACAGCTGCCTACAACAATGGTGAATAGCAGCTAGGGTTCACCAATGATAGGTGCTGGCTTGCTGTAAGGAATAATTTTCACCCAATCAATAGCTTCTTTCATCCTCATCAGCAGAAAACTCACCCTTCACTGCCCTTTTTGATATTAACATCATGCAGAAAAATCAGGAAGACAACACAAGCAAAATTCTGAAACCAAATTGTAATTTATAATGAAGAAATTGCCTATTAAATTAATATTGCTGATCCCTGGTTATGGGAGAGTTATATAAGTGATAGGGGGGAAGAAAAAAGAAACTACTCTTTAAGGTGGTTAAAATAACCCCTTTACAAAACTTTCACTGCTGGTTACAGGTATTCATCAAACTCCCTTTTCAGTATGCTTCACTTCGGCAATAGTTTCTATGATACTGTCATCTGCTGCACCTACTTTATGCTATAATCCCCTGCATTTTTTTAATCCATGCTGGAAACTCTTTACTCTTAACTGCTTTGAACTAAATTATGGGGGGAAAAAAACAAAAGAATGAGACCCTTTGATATGACACTAGAAAGACTAACAGGCAAAAAAGGCTAAAGATTCAACAATGGTATCTAGCTTCTATATTGTTCTCCATGATTAACTACTCCAAAACTCTTCTGTAGAAAAGAACATAAGCAGCAGAAGTCTTTATCTTCTCCTGGCTGATTGGACAAACATGACTATCATCGAAGTCATACCACCGATCACCCCCATGCTGCATCAGAACAAAGACGTATAAAACATTCAACACGGAACATAAGCTCACTTAGAATTCAATCACTTTTACCAATTCACAAGACAAAGGGAAGAACAAGCCTCCATTTTATTACTAAATTATGAATTACAAATACAGCAGACATATTGCCCTTTTACAGTAACTATGCAGTTTAAGACCAAGCACACACATCCACATGCAGACCAAGCACCTTTCCTGGCCACACTCTCCAAGCTAAAAGGAGTTTTTACTTTCAAACTACACCCACCTGCAGTGGTAGAGCGGTCAGCTGTTAACTGGTCATAGGTTCAAATGCATATCGTTGGAGCATTAATTCTTGTGAATTTCTTCTAGTAATATCATCAGATATATGTTGCAACTTTGCAGGCTATAAGCCTCCTAATTCCCAAAATATAAAAACTAGATGAAATCATAGTAATTGACTAATTGTTTTATCAGAATCCCCCTAAACTACTGCATGCTTTCTAATGGCTGACTAGCTTGACTTATGTTCCACATAAGCGCAATTATTGGTTTCAGTGCCAACTATGAGATAGATTCAACATTATTACAGGTGCAAATGATATAGCAGATCATAAACAATGTAATATGTCATTATTCACAAAGTCCTGGATAAGACGAAGTCCTTGTCGTTAGCTACAACTGGGGAAAAGGAGGTGGAAGATGAAAAAGGAAAGGCAGAAGATACATCACTTACATGGATAAATGCAGTGTAATGACCGCCTCCCATGCTTCCATAGTGATTACTGATAGCATAAAGCATGTAACGATGGGATAACTGACCATTCTTGTAGGAAAGGTAAGTTGACAAATCAAGATCATCAATCGGGAAGTCAACATATGTCTCTAGCTTGTTCTTTGCAGACCGGGTATACGAGAACCTCTTTAGATGAATAACCAGAATCTCTGGCAGTCTCCAGAGATCTAACTTTTTACTGGCTTGACGATGCTGCTTGCAACTTGGACAGTACCTAAAATTGCATAAAACAGCTCCTAAATTACAAGGATAGAAACAAACATAGGCTACATTTTACAAAAAAGAACCTACAGGTTTCACAAAAATAAATGCACATACACTAATTTATCACTTCTCAAGTGCATGAATGCCCAGTATACGTAATTAACAAATACAATGAGCAATTATAGACCCACTAACTCCTGCTACACATAATTCAAATAAAGATGTTGAGGCAGGTTAGTAGCATTTGTTGAGAGCAAAAATCCATAACAAAAAGAAAATCACACTTTCAGATGCAAAACATAAAGAAAATTGATTTTTTTGCTTGTGCAAATCAAATCGTATTAAAAGGGAGGATAATGTATGTTGACTACGAGAAAAACATTAAAGGGATTTCAGACCAAATACAGAGAGCCTGAGTGCTACAGCAAATGGGTGTATATATATATAATGAAAAGCCCCTTCTACCAAAAGGTTCATAAATGCCGTAAAACAATATCAAAACTTGTTGAACTCATCTAAAACTCCTTGGTTATCAAACAAAGAGAACTTCAAAATTATGGAATAATCATGAACGGAAATAATCAACCATCAAGAACAAAACACTAACTGACAAAAGCATATTCTGCCAAAAAATTTCATATCTTTAAATACAAATACTTTCCAAGTTATAATTTTGAGAAATGAAGTGCACTGACCACATGTCTTCTGGTCCAAGAGGTTCCTCCTTTAAAAATGCTTCAAGGCACTTGTATAGAGAAACAGATTCCTGAGGTCTCTTCACAAAAAAAGCAGACTTGAAAACCTCAGGTAATGAGCTAAGAAGGCTTGTGTCATACTGCTCAGTCAGTTTTTCTGGCCAACATACAAGCACATTAAACCGCCCGTGTGCTCCTATCTTTGATACAGGCTCATTCATTACTATGTTTTCATCCTTGACTGTTCCCTTCTCATCTGTTAAATAAAACTGTAGTTCAGAATCTGATGGTGATTCAACCCCTTCTGCACTGCAGGGTTTTGCATCCCCATCAGGAGTGGAACTATTGTTATCCTCCATCCCTTTCACTTCTTCAACTGCAGTGCTCTCCAAGGCACCATCAGGAGTTGTCCGAAATGGAGCAAGCAATTGCACATATAGATTGTGAATATCAGATCCACTGACAATATTATGGACTTTCCCTACTAGAGGGATTCCAAATGCTTTCCAACTTGAAGTAAGTTTCCCATTGAAGTAATGCCTGATAATATAAAATCAATCAGAGACCTTGAATATGGTAAACTAAACAAAGCATGAAAAATATTATTCTTGCATCAATCTAAAAAACTCAGAATTACTTATGAGGAAGTCCACATATTCATCGAGAATCATAGAGATTGTGATTGCAGTATTCACATGCACACTTCTCTATGTACTGACACATGAATAAAAGCAAACTCAGAACTAAACAAACCAAGCAAAAGAACATGAACATGATCCAACAACTGAAAAACTTACTCCTCCATGTGCTGATGCATAAAAACAATCAAGGGGACATTGTCAAAATCTTTTTTTAACCGATAAGCAACCAAGCGGTCATTATCTCTGATTAAGGACAAATAATCTGCTGGCTCCTCTAGAAATCGTATAATGCGATTGTTGTATACCTGTATAGAGCTCGACTACTTAGTTACCAAGTCAAAATATATGAGCACATTTAGAACACACTCAGTTTTCATGACTGCAAAATACCTCTGCCACCAATAGTGTCTCATCAATCCCTAGAGAACATGCAATGCTTAGAGCTTGGAGAAGATCTTCACATTTTCCAAACTTTGGCACGGAAATGGTATATGAATCTGGCTGGGTACTGCCATCGGCACTCACAACTGTCAAAGTCATAGTCCGGGTATTTGTTGAAGGTAGAGGTAGTGACAGGTACATAAATGGATCAAATGTGACAGAAACCTTTCTGCAATCAGGACAAACTAGAGTTGATTTATATTGACCCTGCAATAAAAGAAAGTATGATGTGAATGAACAGGTGGCAAACACAGTTATCATTAGCATGCAAAAGCCACCGATTTCAATCTCAAACAAAGAGAAAGTTAGGCAGCAATCTAGAACCATCTATCATTTTGGTTGTGTGTGTGGATCACAGAGAGCTCCTTTATGCAACCAGACCAAAAATAAGATTTCATCCAGATTTATAGTACCAACTGTTTATGGAAGAGAGAAACTAACAAAGCGCATAGAAAGTACAAAACTGAATTTTAGGTCATTAAGAGCTCACAAATAAGATCTTTATAAGCTCTATCAAAGGTTGTTCCAGAAATGGAAGTCTTAACTGACCACTCAAGATGTTATACGCTTCATTACCGTGTATTGCATATAAACACAATTTTTTATTCCATGATTATTGCCGTCAGCAAAATGCAAATAAGAAAAGGAAACAAAACACAAACCTGGCAAACATCGACAATAACAGAGTCATTGCGAGCCACATGATTCTGCCAATACTCATCAGCTACTTCTTCGACTGGCCGACTCTCCTCGTCTTTGGCTTCTACATAAGGTTTGGATTTCACACGATTGAGATCCTCATGGAGTCCATCCAACAGAAAAGCAAGGACTTCCTATACAAATGGTGCATCAAATTCAGAATACATATATAAGTAATACTGCATCCCTTGAACAGCCCTTCTTGAGAGAGAGGAATGATGTTTTGGATAAAGAGAACCAGCTAAATTCATTATTTTGCAACCTGTGTTTTCACTAATCCATCAATAAAGCCCCTATGTTATCAGTCCCATCAATTGAGCATCTGTAAGTAAAATTTGCCTAAATTGAGGGGAAAAAAAAAACCTAAATAGGGAGGGTGGAATGGGTGATGATATTAATAGAAACAAAAAAAAAGTTGATAATTATAAATCAAATTGTGCGGAAGAGTACTCAATTTGCTAAGGTAAACTTTCAATTTTAGAAAATTGTACTCAATAGGCTTAAATAGAAAATACATGTGCTCAATTGACTGAATTGATAACAGAGGGACTTTTTGATGAATTGATGAAAAACACAGGGTGTTATATAATAGGTTTAACCAAGAGAACATAACAAACCTGAGAATCATGCTGATTAAAGCCATTGAATTGAGGAGCAAAACGAGCAAGCTTTGACTTGAATGTTCTTGGAGCCACTGGAGTTGCTCCCGGAGCCCATAATCTCCTTAACAAATCCCCAAAAGCTAAGGCAATCTCACCCTGGTGAAGACAACAACCTTGGGCTGATAAGAGAGTAGACATGATGGGAGGCAGCAAAGGACTTCTAATAAAAACATGCACACTTGAAAGGAGAAAAGGTTAGAGAATTAGATGTACAATAACCTACGTTCATTCCCAATGGGTTCTCGTGGTTTATTTCTCTACCATAATCTCCAAGAAAATAGTCTACAAGCTTTGGTGTGTGTGCTAAGCACTGAACGGAACTATTCATGAAGCAAGTATTCCCAAGATTCTGTAAGCCTGTCAAGCCCAAGGAACCAGCTTCTCCGGATCTGCCAATAAATGCTGAAGAATTGGTGCGGAAAGTACAGGTGCTTGTATTGCCAGCACCTCCGTTCATAGCAAGTGAAGTTCCAGAAGAATATGCTCCATTAGAATTTTGTACAGCCATATCGTCTTTCTTCCCTTCTCTGCACTTTATGTTATCGGATAATCCATAAATTTGCAACTCCAAGAGAAGCTGTGGAGAAAATAATGTTGATGACACAGAATCAGCTTAACATGCATCAAATGTCATTGAATGACCCAACAAAGTGGTCTGTGCAGACATGAACCATAAGGCATGTAATTTTAATATCAGATCTGTGTAAGACCAATAAGAAGAAGCCCAGAAAGTTGAACAAAAGAACTGTACATGAAATTTAGTACTGAGACAAACATTGAATTGCTGAGGTTTGGATTCTCAGTCAATGTGCTTTGCAGGTTGCATGCAGCTTATGTAGCATAGGTATGTTGGCTAATTTCTATTGGAATAGATGTTCTAAGGGTAAAGTTTTGTGCATTGTTCTGAGCAGCATGCAACTAGATATCCTTAAAAGATTTAAGAGCCAAGCTGGTATCTCTACATCAAATTATCTTCTGTTTGGATGGTGACCTGTCTAGTATGTGTTCAAGTTGCATTGTTCTAAGGTGAAATGAATAGGAAACCCTTAATTATTGGTCAATATGACGTAGTAGTCCACCCAAAATTTGAACTTCTATTAATGGAACCCTCAAAATTTTTAACTTTCTCATTTGAACCGCTGCAATTGCATGAAACAATCAGCCATTCAAGAGATGATAACAAATTAGCAAAATGATGAAGCATATGGTTTTCCCTTAAAGAAATGTCAGCTTCATGGAGAGGCTGTTGAGCAGGAGGTATAGCAGAGCATCCAGGATGGCTCCACTTTATGTCTTAGATTGAATTGTAATTTCAAATTAATAAGGTGAAATCTGGTATTTTGATAATTTCACCTGGTTCAGTTCTCTATCAAAAGAAATCCTGGTGTCTTCCAAAGGAGAGTTCTTCAGATTCTTACTGGAATTTTTTTATGCAATTTATTGAATCTATGCAAGTGCAAGAAGCAGCTATAGACTTGTCACAATCAAGCAGTGACAATTGCACATTGGCAACCAGCTTCCCGAAAGACCACTGCACCCAATATCACTAGAATCACACCAACTTACAGCCAAGTCAATGCAGTACATAGTCTAGCTTAATACCTAAAGCTACCAATCAAGTAACCATTCAACATGATCAGAAAAAGTCCAATAACAATTCAAAATTTTCAAATAGTATTTGACAAAGTGAAAAAGGAATGGCCAAAAGTACCAGTCCCTGATGGATTTAGGGGTATATATTGTATTTTGTGAATATCAATGTGCATGCAGGATAAATGACCAAATGGTTCCAAAATAGCTGCTATATAATTTACATATATTTCTAGAAAACATTCTTTTCCTGACAAGTAGGCGGACAAATCTACTAATGCAGACACATAATAACCACTCATTTATAGAGAGAACCAAGTTCATTGACTGTACAGCATATCAAAAACATAAACATTATGTGATTGATAAAATTCAATGTATGGTTCGGCAGCAAAAGTCCGCAAAGAGTTGAGGGCAGACTCTTAATAATCCTAATATGTTAACTAGCTTTACTCCTTTCACACTACCAAAAATATTGCTGAGGATAAAACAGACCCACTTATCTTGTTTCCCTGTAACAAAACAACCTCTTCAAGCATTTTGATCCTGATCAACTGGAAATGCCATAACCCAGTGGAAGGCATGCCCACATAGGCATAAAACAGTCATTTCACATGTTGACCCCATTATATCATCTGAAAACTTATGCGTAGCTTCAAATAGACTTGCATCATATTTTCTTGCTCTGTCCCCCATTTACTCGATGCTTTTCTTTCCCAAACCTAAGTTTTACCTAGGTAGATGATGACAGTATCACAGGATATTGTCAGATGAATGATGACAAGTTATACCAGAATGTAATATATATGTTCACACCATCCCATCCATACTTGTATGTGAGTGTGTGTGATACATATGTATAAGAGAAGAGTAATATATCAAATTTAAGAATATTAAACTTGGCATATAACTCTTTAAATTTTTTTATGGAAGTCGTTATAAAAATTAAAAACATGGCAGTAAGACAGGGAGGGGTGGAAAATTGAGGGCCCCAATATACATGCTTAATTCATTTTGCAGGGTAACTTCACAATCAACTGATGGAACATTACAAGAACTAATTCCTACTTGGTTTCTTTTGCAGAAAAATAAAAATCTATGAGACTTAGAGATCGTACGAAAGGTTAGACATCATAACTCACTCATGCACATTCAAAAAGCACCAAGAGCATCATTGGTGATAATAGTGAGGAGATCCTGAGCAAAGTTCTCTTCAAAATTGTACGAAAGGTTCAAAACAGTTTTCAGTGTTAGATAAATTTAAATATTATGAAAATCTGGTTCTAGCATGCTTAGCTCAGTAATGTTACTTAGTATTAATTCCAAGCAATATAAGATCAAATCCCACTGAAAAAAGGGATGGGGAGGATGGGAGAAAGACTGCCCCCCTTGCATGGCTCAAAGCCCAACATGCTTCCAAATGAAGCAAAATAATACTAATAATAATAATGAAAGCAAACCCAGGATAAACGATGTAAACGTGATTTTTTTTAATGTCTCTTGGATGCCCAAATTGCTGTATATTGGCATGGTTAGTAGAACATAAAGGAGGGTTTTGATTCCAGCACTTATTTCTACAATCACCCCGACATAAATATCAATTATAATGAGATCTAGCATATGTTCTTAGTAATTATGATTTCTAAGGTAAAATAAAGAATCTAAAAAAATGAAAACACACCACTTACCTCCTGATCAGTCTGCCGCTGACAGTCCTTCGGGAACTCAGATTTGTCATTTATGAAAAAAGGGGTTGTCTGCCCAGAAAAGTCCCAGATGCGAAGCTGTACAACAGCATTAGTTGGAGACTCATTAGCTACTCCTCATAAAGTTACCACAACACCAGCCGGATGAAGCTCTATCTTACCATCTCAGAATCAAGACTGAAAATCTTGCAGGCTCTTCTGAAAAGCTCAGTTGCATTGTCCTGGAAAAATAGAAAGAACGTCAGGAAGACACTGAACCAAAAACTTCCTCAGCAAGCTTCATGAATGAAATTGCAAGCATGAAAACACCAGGCAGGAATCACTGTCGATGCAAAACAACCAGTTGAAGAGCAAGAAACCAGAATTTGACTAGAATTCTTAAAATGCTTAAAGCAGTTATAAACTATGAGGATGTCCAAGAGACCTATGACACAAACCCATGTCTAAAATTTAACTGTTCAACCAAAGTCTATTTACAGCAAGTCATTACACCATAAAAGATGTGCCAATAATTGCACTCAACTCAATCTTACACATTTGAAGTGAACACACTAAATACAATACATCTAAGAACATATTACTGAGTAGCAGACCAAACAGGAAAGCATGAAGAGTTGACAAACCTACTGATTCTCAGAACATTGATTAATCATTCACACTTCAAATTGGGAAAAGAGCAGAGGTACAATGTCCTTTAGTTTCAAAATCAACGCATCCCTAAGCTTTCAATAGTAGACAGGTCATTACAACTATAGTATGACAACCAAAACCAAGATTCCAAATTAAATGATACTCCTCAGAAGCTAAATATGTCTCTTAATAGTTTCCTGTCTGCGCTGCAAAATGAAATTAGGCTCAAAACCACTCAAATGTGTTAGATTACCAAGTGCTTATCGTTGACAGTTAGACCCCAGGTGGTGGTGGTGGAGATGATGATGATGATGATGATGATGATAGTCTGAGTTCTCCACCTGAGCTTCTATCTCTACTTGCCTCAAACAAAATAAGAAAAAAGAGAGGCCTAATCTTGCAAAGTAAAACTTAAAGAGTCCCTAAAAATTCTTACTTTTTTTATTTGTGGATTTAAATTTGACCTGAATTCAACCAGTCACTGAATTAATGAAGCAAGATCACTTCCTTTTACAGTAACATTGTCTTCCACTCTTATATTTGGGTCTCGCTAAATAGAATTTCGCACCACAAATGCATTGACTACAAAGCTAAAACCTGGACTTTAGATTGGAGATCCACGCTTCCACTTCCCTTTTCTACTAAGCTTCAATAGAACCAGTCAAAAATTAAGGTCTTTTGAATTCAAGATTGACATTGCAAAAATGACAGCTCATTCAGTACAGATTGATCAAAAATTATCAGAGTTGACACTGCAGCACTGTAAATCGTTGGAACCGAAAAAGCGAAAGCATGGACCATTTACATAAACTGACCTTTTTGCTAACTTTTACTCCTAATGAATTTGTCTCTCGCAGTACAGAAAGCCTGAGTTGTAAAGGGTAGACATCTGACATGTCATCTTCTGCAGCAGAAAAGGTTTTTCCACACTTTGCCGCAACTTTAGCATGACTATGCCTGAAGGAAAATTGATATTAAGCAACTCTAGTTTTTAGACAACAAAACAAAATAAAGAAATCAATAAAGCTTCACTTGTTACACAAAAACCATATCCTAAAAACCAATATGCATTTAAAATTGTAACCATCACATAAAAGACATGCCATCATCATAGTAAAGTACCTAAAAGGAAAGGTAACTTCTGCAGTTATCGGAGTTCAATTGATAGGGAAGCTCAAAAAGTTCTTATGCTGGCTTCCAAAAGATTTTAGGTTGATTGCATTGGGAAGCTTCAAGCTAGAATTATTAATTTCTATGCATGTAACCATCCCTTAAGTTTCTCGAAGGAACGTCATTCAAGATAACTAAAAGACTTTCAAAAAGAGCACATGCTGCATCATAATGGCTAGGTGTCACGCAAGGAATTCCAGATGATTTTTGTTGCCCCACATACGGACAAAACTCAACTTTATCATAGGACAAACAGTTTCAAACACACTTGGAAGACTGCAGCGTTCATCCCTTAGTAACAAAACAACTTCCAACAGATTCATGAGCGATCGCCAAAAATTAAATTATAACTACTGCATTCACACAACTTCAGAATAGAACGCAAACAAGATATTGGGGGGAAATGTAGAAGATTGCAACAGGATAAGGTCCCCTTGCAAATATCTCAAATACCAAAAACGAGAAGAACTGGCATGGTGCAGATGGAAAGTCATTATTTAGAACGAGTGGCAACAAATTCATTTCAAAACCTCATTTTTAATCTTGAAAAACATTCAAAAATAAATAAATAAATAAATAAATTATCAATTACTCCAATGCAAGGTTAAGACAAAGAACTGTTTAACTAATTATTAAAGGCTTTTTATGGTGAGGCAAATAAAAGGATAAATGCCAAAGAGGACCAGGGTGAAATGAATTGTCTACTATAAACAATAATCTACAGCCATATTAAAAACGGAAAAGAATAAATTGATTTAGCACAGAAACACTACTTATGGGATCTTCAAGCGATCATTTCAATAACTACTCACATAAGAATTAACATACCAAAGACCCTAAAGCACCAACTACTTAAATGATTGAAAAAAAAAAAAAAAAGCATCTAAAGCCCGAGTGGCATCAATCGCACCATATCTTTAGCAAATATTTACATAAACCTTGCCAAATTCTCACAAAATTACCAAGACCTAATCTAAAGAACTTACCACTTAAGTGCCTGCAACCACATTTCTCCAGAAACCAACGCAAAATCCCGCCCAGATACACCTACTTCACCACTTTCACCATTCTGCAAAGAATCCTCTTCTCTCCTCAAATTAAACGCAAGATCCAAATTGAAGATGTTATTTATAAGCTTCATAGGACCTGCATACGACGAAGCTGGAGTTGCCATATACAAAACCCCTCTCTTCCCATCCGATTCACTCGATGTCATTGCATCTTCTGCATCCTTCCACCATCTAATACACCCAAATCCAATCACAAAATGCAGGCCAACCCACGTCACAAAAACATTAAACAAGACAATAAAGATTCTCCTTTTTTATAATTTAAAAAGCAAACACTGAGATTGAATCCTTAAACTGCTCAAACTCAAATCTCAATCCGAAACAGACCAAACCCATTTCATAAAATTGAATCAAATTTCAAAATGGAGCCAAACCCAGTTCATAAAACAATCTATTTAGTAACTCCAAAATGTTTCCAAACAAAAGAGAAAAATAACAGAATTCAAATCCATTTATATTAGATTCCTTCCTACTGCTACTATTGAGATTCAAATCAAGATTTCTATTTATTCATTCTCTATTAAGTTTTTAATTAATTCATTAAAAAAATCAAGAAAATGAAGATAAAATAAAAAGGCGTTGAGCACCTCTGCTTTAGTATAGATTCGTAAAATGTAACCCCTATAGTATCAGACAAAGTAGTAAAAATACAAAGAGAAAGAGAGACCTGTAAGGAACAAAGTAGACTCGTTGGTCATTTTCTGAGTCGGGTAACTGAGTTGAATCAGAGATATCTTCGGGGAGACCGTTCTCCATTTGAGAGAGAGAGAGAGAGAGATTTAGAGTAATTTTAAAAATGGATAAAAGAGAGCAATGCAATGCAGATCACTTCTTTTCCTTTATTATTTTTTTTTTTCCTTTTCTGTAAGAAACAAAGACAGACACAGAGCAGATAGCGGAAGCGGATTTTGCACAGAGAGAGAGAGAGAGAGAGACCGGAGCTTTTTCTGTGAAGAGGATTCAAGGAGGGAAAATAAATAAACTCTATTATAAAAATAGGAAGAAAATGTCAAAATTATCAATAAATATTGATCCAAATGATTCTATTCATATATCAAAACCAATTTTATACCATTATTTATATATACAAAGTAATATGTTAAAAAAAAAAAAACTGATTTTCAAAATGGTGGAAAGAAAAGAAAGGAAAGAGGTATATACTTTTTGGAACAAGCGAATCTTATGGCCAATGAATTGCTATGTCACATGCATTGTGTGTGTGTGTGTGTGTTGGCTACGTTAATTATGTTTAGTCTTTCAATGACAAAATAGGTGAGGAAACCTAAGCAACAACCATGTTCTATGTCTTTTAAGATTTTCAAGTGAAATAATTTATAGGAGAGGAGTGCTCACAACCTTTTTTTCTTTTTTTCCGTTGAAGAACCTGAATTTATATGAAAGTTAGAAAAGTAAAATAAAATATGCAAATTAAAATATTTTTTATTTTAAAATTAAAATTTTAAAAAGTGAAATGTTTTTAATTAAAAAAAAATTGAATAAACGAGTGTTGTTAGCTAAATAATTTGATTTTAACAATTTGTTAATTAAAAATTTTTTACTGTTAAAAAAAAAGATGAATTTACTTCAGAAAATATGAAAAAAAAGGTAATAATTTATTTTTTAATTGGTCGCACGGCAACGTGCAGACAAATATACAAGCAAACGACGAAATCCAATACGTTTATGTTTTGAGATTTTAAAGGAAGATAATTTATTTACGTAACTAATGTAAGGTGGTCGTTTTTTAAAAAAATATATATTATTATGAAAAATTACAATTCTTTGTATTTTTGCTTTTCTAACATTTTTGTTTTCGTTTTTTTATTTTATTACAAAAAAAAGGATGTTTGAACTCCATATTTTTTTTAGAAAAGAAAAATAGTAAATTGAACTACAACTTACTAATATTTTCCTAACATTTTCCTTCTTATGAATTTGTATTAATAAAATCATTTTTTGTGTCAAAAAATTATTTCAATTCAAAAGCTTAATGAGATTCAAGATCTATGTTAACTTGTGCTTAATTAATTAGAAAAGAAGTAAGATAGCGAGATTTGAACCGGTGACCATTTGATCAATAAGACTCTAATATCATATTAAAAGACTATTTTAACTCAAAAACTTAAACTATTAGATGACACATTAAAATATTATTTATATGACCCTCTAATAGTTAGTTAGTAAATACAAAGTTACTAACATTCTTTCATTTTACATTATTACATTCAAATCAATTATCTTCTCACGTATTTTTTTTTAACATGATTATAAAAATAGTTTGTCTAAGAATTTTTTTTTTAATTTTCTATTCAATCCTTAAATATTAATGCTGAAAAATGGTGTAAAGAGATTGATACTTCCATTATTTTAATTGCATAATTTACTCCATAATTTGATGAAAAATTGATGATGTTAGGTCAAGAAAAGACAAATGGGAAGAATTTTAAATCTCAAATCAACTTTTGGGTGATATCCAATAAAAACAAGACACGCATCTACTAGAAAATTTGCTTAATACATATATTTATAAGCAGCGTGGTATCTACGGATCTCTTTGGACTTTCAAAACCAGTCTTTCTTGCTGGTGATTGGTTGCACTAGGTCAGATCAGTTTTTTTGTCGACAAGAAACCCTCATTTTTCAGAAAGAGGATAAGCGGACTTTGATCCCATTTTCGTTTAGAAATCAAACTAGATTTTACTTTAGAAATCAAACTAGATTTTTACTTGTATTATGATATGGATTAGATAAAATATATAAAATCGTTTAAAAAAATTATTTAAATTTAATAATCTATTTCATGGTAAAAAATAATTATAATTTTTAATCAAAAATTATGTATTTAACTATTTCTTATTTATATTTTTAAATTTTAGAAATAAATAATAAAAGAAATAAATTGTTGGTTTTCTTAAAAATTTTAACACCAAATATTATTAAAAAACAAAAATTAAAAAAATAATCAATGTTTAGAAAAAAACAAAACAAAAAAAGTTGCAAGCTCTTTACTCGTTTAAGTAAACGAGTAAACGGACGGAAATTAAAAGATAAATAAAGAAAGAAAGAAGACGTTTACTTGTTAAAATGAATAGTAAATGGATTTTGATTTAGGCGTGACGGCGGGGTGGAGGTGTGGTAAAAAAAAATTAATGAAAATTTTTAAAAAAAAAATTAAAACATTATAGCAATAAACCGTGATTAACACTGTTCATTGTTACAGTGAAAAAACGTTTTTCTTTAGTATATAGTATAATAATAATAATAATATAATATAATAATGTGAGAGTATGTTATTGATATTCCGACCAAACAATAATCTTTACTTAATTGGGTGCTTTTCAAATGAGATCGTCACTATCCAGCTACAGTTTTTGTTTTGCAATGGCTGCAGTCAAAGAATATGGAAAACAAAAACTTCTTTATGCCACTCCAACGTTGTTGAAGGCTATAATAGATCGATACTACAGAAACAAAATGTTTGTATTACAGATTTCTAGATATTGGTAACATTTGTAGGAAACAAATACTAATTGCTTTTTAAAAATTTACAATCAATGAAAATTTTAAGTTACATATTATAACTTAATAATATGTAACTTCAATTTTGTAAACTGCTAGTGGGGATGTGATGAAGGCAATGCAGCAAATGTTCAAGATTACTATTTTTTTGTTGTGAAAAAAATTATAAAAACACATTTTTACAACTTTTTTTTATAGTTTTTTTCTTTTTGGTTTTTGTAATACCCTAACAATCTCTATATTGTATATTTTATTGTAAAAAAATTACCAAAACACATTCCTAAATTTTGTTTTTGTAATTTTTTTTTTTCAGTTTTTGTAATACCCTTCTAAATCTCTATATAGGTTATAGTAGTTAAATTTTATTTTGTGATATTTTGTGTTATTAAAAACAATAAAGTTAGTGGAGATGAGGATGAAGGGAATGTCACAAATGTCCATATTATTATTTCTTTTTGTTGCGAAAAATTACAAGAACACATTCTTATAATTTGTTTTTGTAGTTTTTTCCTTTCGGTTTTCGTAATACACTAACAATTTGTGTTTTTTTTTTTTTTTTTTGTGAAAAAATTACCAATATACATTCCTACAATTCATTTTGTAATTTTTTTATTTTTGGTTTCTGTAATATCCTTCTAAATCTCTATATTGGTTATAGTAGTTAAATTTTATTTTGTGATATTTTGTGTTATTAAAACTGAAATTCCACCTTTGATGAAAAGTAAACTGAATTTTATTTCATAATCTAAATTTTGGTAGAACTGAGTTTTATTATTATTATTATTATTATTCTCTTGATGGATATTAGCATCCATGTTCCAAATTTTTAAATTTCAGATCAATACCAATACTTTAATTTCAAAAGGCATTTAGCATAAATTATATCTCCCCGTAGCTGCTTACGAGGCAATAGATGGATGCAAAAAGGTTCGACTTGCTTGAAAGAGATCTCCTTCTCCTCGTCATATCATTCTTCTTGTCAATTATATCAAAATATAAAAAAAAATTACCTAAAGAAGAAGCTGAAGAGGAAAAAAAACACCAAAAGATGTAAATTATTTATTGTATTGGTTAAAACATAAAGTCCATTGTTTATATATAGGCCATGCCTGCTCGGGAAAAAAAAATACAAACTTAAGAAAAAAAAAAAGAATTCTAAATCTATAATATAACTAAAAGTTTTCTTTTCTATTCATCTCAAACTCGTGTACATCATAAAAATCAGAGAGCTGAGGGAAACGCATTTGAGAAGGAACATTTTGCATCATTGGATTCTGCCAGTAGGAAAAATTCGGTTGCCTGCTTGGGCCATAATAGCTTACTGAGTGTGCCCTAGGATTGTTGAACATCGTATTCCCTATCATCTCAGTGGCTGGATCATAATTGTAATGAACTGTGGATCTTACGGTGTTATTACTAGAAATACCACCAAATTGACCGAAATCTTCATGGTTCATCATCAACAACATAGGACCATTGATAGGCATCTGTTGTAGCTGATCAGATGAATAATATGTGGCTAATGGCATATCTATTGACTTGGCATAAGATAAGGGTTGCTGGTTAAGAGCCTCTAATTCAATATTCTGCGGAAGCAAGGCGTTAGTAAAATTACTAGAAACCATCAGGCTTGATTTATTGCTAATAGAGCCAGCTGCAGTTATCCCTGACTTCGAATCCTCCATCAAAAAGGGGTTACCTTTCAGCTTCATTATCCTACCTTTTGCAATATCAAGTTTAGCTTCGAAAACTCCTGCAAGTACCCTAAGTTGGTCGACTGATAAGAAGTTGAGACGATTGTCCCATGCAGGAAACTTTGCTTCCACACAGGCTTTGCGTAGTTTAACAATTTCATCATCTAGTCTCTTCTTCCGAGCTTCAAAAAAATGAGACAAATCTTGTGTTTTCTTGCGATCAGTACCTTCTGACCTAAATCTGTTTATAATACGTCTGACTTCAATGCTATCGGTCGGCCAGGTTTCGACATCAACAGGACGATTGTTCAGATCTGGCCCAAAAATGATAACACATGCATCTACGCCACAAAGAATCTGGAACTCCCTAGCTTTCTTTGTTAAACCCTTCTTTCTTTTGTGGTAAGTAATCATCCGAGATCTCTCGTTGCATATGAGCTCCATGTTTAGCTTACCGCGACCCATCTTTCAGTTTTTATTTACCTAGCAAGATGAGAGTTTATCATCAATAATATTTTCTATTTATCTAGCCATGTACAGATCTTCAATTGCCTAACTAGAACAAAACTGAAGATACTAAACATGGAAGCATAAACAAAAACCTAATAAGGAATTAACAAAGTGGTCTTAAACCACAATCTTAGGTTTCTGGATCTGTTTCTAAGAAGTTAAGAATATACATTAAAATCAAACACAGCAAAAGGCTAGCAAATTAAAAACAAGAGAAGAAATTTACAATAATAGAAAGTAAACAAAAACAATAAAGACAAAAAGAATGAACAATAAGTACCTTAGGTTTTGATGCCTTTTCCAACCCTCTAACTAGTTCCAATATAACCACACAATAACATAGCTTTAGACCTATGTGTATATATAAGGAGAGATTATCATTCCATTTATGGAAGTGAATCAGAATTACAGATTTTTTGAAGAAAGATCAGGGTTTTTATTAGCTTTCCATAAGAATATTACTGTTTTGTGCCACAAAATCTTCCCTGCAAATCTCCTGAGTTGTAGGCACCTATGAAATAGGGATTGCATTACTCGAGAATAATTCTATTCGCCAAAGAAGTGTTTCCTTTTACAAAGGTCCTTAATATTGAAATATTGCTCAGCTTGCAGGATCTTAATAGTTACAATGCTGTCATTTTTTCCTCTTATACATTTTATTTTGTAAATGGCTAAAGGAAATTGATTGGAAGCAAGTTGAGATTGTTTTCCTCCAAATGGCACTGAATTCTTTTTTGTTATTTAGACCAATTATAACAGAAAAACAAAATGTGAAGAGCCTAATTGTTTAAAAAGGTTCAAAGTATGTTTGAAAAATTAATCAAGAAAATTCCAAATCTCACCTGCTACCAGAGTCTGTGATTCTTTTTGGCTTCCTGCATTCTTAGCTCCCTTGTTCTACTCACCTCCTTTCTGGGCTGCTAGAAATTGTATTGCAAAAACATTCCATTGCTGCGTTTGACTTGTGCTTTATTGCATTGCTTGCTTATCGACAATTAACTCTCCATTTTGCTTGTTACCTTTTAAAACTGCCAGGCAAAATTACAGCATAAATAATCCAATAGGGCAAAGCTAACCATCAGAGGAACCTCAATTTGAGATAGTTGTCACTGGCTAAGAATAATAAAACTATCTGGACAAGATATAGATGAGTTGAGATAGGAAGAAAAGCCTTCACTAAAGAACCGATCCTGATACAAAAAAATTCTGCTATCAAGACTGTTATCCCACGTATTCAAAAGTTACCTTACAATAACTACCTGTAAACATGAAACCAGATGGGAAACATAAAAAAATTCCAGAACGAAATGCAAGGAAGGGATCAAAGGTATACAAGATAGAAAAGATAGAAAATGCACAAGGTTCAATAGCTGCTTGCCATTTGACCCGGCCAGGACCAAAAGAGAATCTTTAAAACCAGCACAATAGACCAAAAGAACTTCGAATGCTAGAGTTTTGTCTAAGATTGTGAGCAATGTGAGCATCTCTAACGTGTGCTCATGTTTGTTTACAAACTACTTAACATAGAAAATAGATCAAGCTTATAGCATAGACAAGCGCAATAGGTCAATATTGGCTCTGCACAAATAGGGACAAATATTGGAGATGACAATCTCAGAATTGGATCAAGTGATAATATACCATTAATCATCATTTCTACACATTTCAATTTCAGGCAATTCCCAGAAGACAGACCAGAAGCGACTCTTGAATTGATCCATTTCTGGTGGTATGAAAGTTGGTCGCATACAATAAAACAATGAACTTTGTTGTAAAATATACAAGGCAAGGTAAGTGCATTACACTAGCATGGTAGATTGTTAGAAATAGTCAATATAACTAGACAGCACATGATATAGAAATAAAAATTGCAGATAGAGCTAGTTAATGCCTTGTGCAATCTTGGTATTGAGCTCGGTAACATCCTAGAACAAGGGATTCATTAAGTTAAAACAGAGAACTATCAAGAGAAACATAAAGCAATGGAAAAACAGAAAACAAACCAATCTGAATTTCTGTATCCTATTGTCTAATTCTCACCAATTCCCTTGCTATCTTGAAGGAGCCAATTTCTCGTTATATAGCTTCAAAATTTCAGGAGCTTCATCATAACAATTGACAAACCTTTTCAGGAATGTTGTATCGGGATACTCAAATATCATAGTTGATCTAAACTTCTTATCGACCAAACCTTTTGACACTAGACATTGCAAAACTTAAGCCCTCGGAACGAGTCTCTCCTCCAAGCTCAATTTCATAAGAAATGGGTGTTTGGCGACAATATAAGACTCACAATCCAACTGGTTGACAAAATATTCATTGCTGCCATAATCTTATCCTCAGATTTTGTTATGAAGTAAGGTTCTTTTCCAAATTCTGCAAGAATCTCTGCCTCAGACAAAAACTACCTTTTGTATTCATCAAAATTTCTTTCCCACGTGGATTGTGTCATCCACATGAGTGATGCAACTGCTTGAACAAATAGACGCTTAGTATGGTCAAAACCCATGTTCCTGACTTCCTCCACAGCCTGCATGAATTTATCAATACTCATTGTGAATCTTCTGGTCCGATAACGAAATATTTTAACTATATTCGATCCTGATACTACTTCATGATGCAAAATATTGTTCTTACTTGAAAGACATTTTTCAAAATTTTGATCATGAAAAAAGTAACATCTGCTGAAAGCTGCAACAGTCCTCCTATCAGAATGAAGTAACTCTTTTAGGAGATTATAAGCAGGGATGATTTGATTTTCTAAAATTCTATGCAAGAGAAAAGGCTGAGACAACAGAATGTCGGCAACGTCAGGCAAGAGAATCCTTTGGATTGAAAGAATCCAATTTAGGCAAAAGGGTTTCCTCAGGGCTGCACAAAAGCAATTTTGGCCATTTTTTGAGCAGCTTTGAGATTTGGGTTTTTGAGAAATGCACGATTCTTAAGCAAAGAAAGAACAGAGTCAGGTTGGTTTAGGGATTCAAAGAATACCTGCTTGGTGGCTGAAAGAGCAGATTCTAGGGACAAGCCACTTGAAATTACGAGGTAAGAAACAGTAAATGCGTTGTCATCATTTGTAGTTTAATTAGTTGAGACGTATCTGAGAGATAGTAATATTGAGTTTGAAGGGTTTTGAGAAAAGTGCAGTTCAACAACTGATGATGAATTTCTAACAGGAACCCTTAGATTGCAGAGAAATCCAAACATTGGGAAAGAAACTGAAATTTGAAGAGAGACAGACAGAACAAATTTTGTTTACCTAGTTAAAGGAGATTGTTAACGACAGTGCGCTGAAGCTGAACCCACCAGTTTGTAAAATCCTCAACATTATAATCTCCTCTCCTAATACAAGAGAACAAAGCACAAACAAGTCCTTCTGGTGGATGGATTCCAACCTCTGCTATAAGAAGAGAAATGGTTCTCAACGGATTAAATAGAACAACTGACAGGATGCTTTGATTTTACAGGGGTTTTTGAGAAAACTTGTACAACTCAAAGTAGAATGAGAAACAACTAAAACCCAACAGACACGCACTCATGACATGGACAACCTAACTATGAACTAATTATCTGTGCATGATTTTGAAGTCTCGCTATATCTTTCGAAACTCCAAGACAATAGCCAAATGTTTGCGAGCAGCTTAGGATCAACATACACGTACTAGGACTTCAACTCTTATGCACTTCAAGCATTTTCCCCAGTCTTTTAAGCTACAAGTAGACAACATACACAAGGGCACCAAATGATTGAAAAAACTTTCCACAAAAGAGAAATTTTCTCATTGAACCAATGTCAAAGCCTTTCGCTATCAGGCTGTTAAAGATTGTCAACAATCCTGGCATCTTTAACAAACCATGCATTTGCCATTTTTGCCCATATTCCTTCCAAACATCATAAAATAGGAAGTGTATAGCGCCTAATGCATGAAATCTATGTACAATAGGTAGTGCAATAGTAGATTGAAATTAAATTAGAACCGACAATCTCTTAGTTGAACAAAATGATATATGTATACTGCGGATGGTATAGAAACATAATTGCAGACAGAACCTGTTTTTGTCGTTAGTGCAACCATGGAAATTAAATCTTCATATAACAAAGAATTCAACAAGTTAAGGAATAGAGTCTAGGGCAATGCAAATCGACTAAGAATTAGAATGCAAAGCACATGAAATGCAACATCCTAGTCTCTCAGTCTCATCTTTGTTAACTTGAAAGAGTCAGCTACTCGTTATGCAACTTCAATAAATAGTTGAGGACATTCATCATAACAATTCACTAGCATTGTATCAGGTTACTTGAATATTTTAGTCCATCTTAATTCTTTTCTACCAAATCATTTGTAACTAGAAAATGCAAAACTGAAACCCTTGGAATGATTCTTTCTCGACAAGCCTATATTAGAAGAAAAAAGATATAGGTGTTTGACATTGATTGAGGACTCCCAAGCCAATTTGTTGACAAAAAAGATTCATTACAGCCATGATATTATCCTCAGATTTTGGTATGTACTGAGGTCTGTTTCTAAATGTCACAAGAATCTGTTTCTAAGACAAATTCTATCTTCACACACATGAACGTTCTTTTCCCAAGTGCCAGTCACAAGTTCGACAAAGCATTTTCCACAACATTACTAACTTCTGAATTAGGCCAAAGTTCAAGAATACACCTTTTTTTCTTTCTTCAACAAGCAGGAAAGAAATATATCATATTGACTTGGACTTGATCGCGCTGTAGTGAAGCGCAACACTTTGGATTTTTAATCCAAAGAAGCTATCAACAGAGCAGGGATCAAGCTGATTTAGGAGTCCAACAGCACAGTCAGGGCGTAATAAAGAAAAGCTGATGGAATAAACACATTATCTGTTGAATTATGTACAAGCCAAAGCAAATGCAGCCGTGATAGTATGATAGATGGTTGCTACCCAAGGTTCAAGCTTCAATCAAGATCACTAGACAGCAGAAGATACGGAAGTCTAATTTGCAACAGAAGAAGCTATATCGATTCGTGTGACTCTTGGAGTTTGATTAAAGAAATTTTTAAAGAAGTATCTAATAAAGTTTAGTAGCAGAGCTAATCAATTATGAGCAGAATGGAAAAAGAAATTAAATTGTAGCATACCAGTCCCTCATTCTTAGCGACTTCCTTGTTGTCTTGAAAGAGCCAATTTCTTGTTATATAGCTTCAATATTTCAGGAGCTTCATCATAACAATTGACAAACCTTTTCAGGAATGTCGTATCAGGATACTAACATTTTAGGGGATCTAAACGTCTTCTTGACCAAACGTATATAAATAATAACATTTTAGGTTACAAGGAAGGCAGAATCAACACCAACGACGTTTCGGCTTGCTGGGAAGTCATCTCAAGCACTATCACCTCACATCAACAGGAAAGCTCTCTCCAACATGCTGTATTCGTCCAGCTCCCATCTACAATGGAGAAGAGATTCTTCCACATCAGAATCTTCAGCTCCAGCTAATGTTGAAGAGAAACAAAATGCATCCATACTACTTAGAGCTTGATGGTTAAAGCTTTTTGATTTTGTAAATACAATTACAAAATTTCAGCTGCAGCTGGTAATGTGAACACAAGTGGGAAATATCTTGTTAAGCTTCATCCCATTAAAAAAAAAAAAAAAAGTCTCCCGCTCAATAACTGGATTTTAAGGATGTATATAAAGTGCGCAATCAAAAAGAATGTATAGGTTTCTGTCTGTTTTTTTTCCCTAACACCAAACAACCCACCCCTCCCCCCACCCCCCATGTAGCAGTTTCCTTGTGCACGATATGGAGTGCAATGGATTGCACATTAACTGAAAATGCATTGCGTAATGCGGTGAATCTAAGTGTTAATGTTGGATGTTTGCGCCATAGCCCTAAATTTGTTAAAAGTCCGTTTCACAATTACAGTGGTGTTTGTATGGATATCTACAGACCAAAAACTATATATATATATATATTTTTCTTGGATCAGCCAACCTGAATATAATGACCTCAAAGCTTCACACCAAATACCAGGGAATTCAGATCTATTGTTTTTATTTCTTATTTTTTTAAGTGTTGACTGTATTTACACGACTTGGCAATCTTTATGGAAAGAAGTGAGAGCCAAATTAAAGCAGATAAATAGGGATTGCTTCAATTGAAGGGAGGGTGCAGATGCCAGCCAGAGTGCCAGACAGCTTTCCTTATTATGATGATTATTATTATTTATAACTTTTTTTTTTTTTTAATGAAGAAAGGATTTCTTAGTGTCTTCACCTTCTAAACAACAAAATAAATTTTGTTCAAAGATGCTATATTAACATGCATGGGATTACCTACTAAAACATCTGATTTATATGTTTGTTAACAATATTATCTCTTTTTCACAAAAAGTTTGAACTCAAAATTTTTTGAGAGGTGGAAGGCCATTAAAAATTTAATTCATTACGCTTGAAAGATGCATAAAAAAATAAATAAATAAGACCAAAATTACTTAGAAAGAAAAAAATTGAAAAGGAAAAGTAAACTTGAATTCATTTTGCATATACATATATTTTTTTAATCATGTGATTCTATCCATAATTGTTTTCTACATAAAATTTTTCGTTCTACAAAAAAATAATAGCTAAAATTTTATAGTTAAATATATATTTTTAGAGGGCAATGAAAAACAAAAACTTTTATAGTTATTTTTCTTCAAACAATTAGAGTATTTTCAAATCAGCTTATATATCAATCATAAGAGTGCATTCTTTTCATCGGCCTAGTGGATTCGAAGAAATTTTAATAAATTCTTATAAATATTGATTTTAAGATTTAAATAAAAAAAAATCAAGAAAAAGAAAAAACCTCCTTAACTAATGGACCAACCCTTTAAAATTCCTAAATATTATTCTCTAGAAAAAGAAAAAGAAAAACAAATGATACAAGTGATAAAAGGCCTAAGGTACAAAGGCCAGTAGGGATTATTAAAGCAAAGACTCTGCCTAAACAATACTTTGGCTAACTATTTTTGTAATCCACCTAGTTATAATGACAAGCATTAATAGAATTAAAAGAAAATGATAAGAATTAAATATTTATTATTGCTCTCTCTATCCAACAACTCATTTTTATTCTTATTTTTTAAATCGTGTTTTCTTAATATTTATCATTGATATGTTATTTTATATTGTTTCCAAAAGTTTTTAGCATTTCCATATCGAAGACATTTAAAAAGAGTTAGATTGCATCAAGCAGTTGACACTGAAACAAAATTTGAGGGTGAGTTTTTGTTTTCATAATCCCTAATGGGCTTTATGGCACCGGCCTTGTTTTGTTATGGGTCTCCTTTGGAGGGCTCTATGCCATTCACAGTTTGGGCTTAAATACCAAGAACCTCTTTGTTTTTATACACATTGGTCAAGAACAAAAGCATAATCATAGTTGAACGTTACTTGTGAAAGAAGATTTAGATCACTTTTAGTCAAAATTTCTGCTCCGAAGACTAATAGATGCTTACGGTGGGAGATGGTGAAACATGACATTATCAAATTCCAAAGTTAAAGATGCAATCAAGAAAGGCAGTTAACAGATAATTATAACCAAAGTTATAAAATAGTACTTGAAACGTCATCAAGCAGATTGAACAAAGTGACATCCTGAAAAAAAAAAGGATGCAAAACCAAATAGGATTCGAAAGTAGTGAAAAAAATGCAGCATTCCAACCTCTCATCCTCACTCATTTACTTGTTATCTTTACACAGATAATTTCTTCCCATACAGCCTCAGTAGTTCAGAAGCTTCTTCGAAATGATTCACAAACCTCTGCAAGAATGTGGTTTCAGGACAACAAAAAAAATTTGTGCCCCTGTAATTTTTCTTAACCAAACCTTTCGATACGAGAAATTCCAAAACCAAAGCCCTGGGAATGAGTCTCTTCTCCAAGCTAAATGTCATAATCAGTGGGCTTTTGACAATAAGTGAAGACTCGCAATCCAACTTTTTAACAAATAAATCCATTACACCCATAATTTTATCCTCAGAAATTTCCATGAACTCGGGTACTTTTCTGAATGCTGAAAGAACATCTGCCTCAGACAAGTTCCATCTTTTATATACATCAACCTTCTTTTCCCATGTCGATTTGCTCATAGACTTGAGTGATCTGACTCCAGCAACAAATATACGCTTAGAAGGATCAAACCCCATATCCCTTGCTTCCTCTACAAGGCTTTTGACTTTATCAAAATTCATTGAGAATATCCTAGGCCAGTAATAAACCAATGTAACGATACTAGATTCTAACACTCCATTCTCCCGCAAAAGGTTGACCTTACTTGCCATATCTCTTTTGCAATCGAGAGTAAGAACAAAAGGGCACCGGTTGATAGCTGCAACAGTCTTCTCATCAGATTTAATTAAAGCTTTCAAGAAACTGAAATTTGGGATAATCTGGCTTTTTAAGCTTCTGTCCAAAAGCAAAGTGTGTTTTGCAATATCAAAGGTGGAAAGTCCTATAGAGTTAAAGAAATCCAATTTGGGCAAAAGGACTTCCTCAGGGTTGCACATGAGGAGTTTGGGATGTGATTGGACAAGCTCTAAGATTTGGGTTTGTGAGAAACCATGATTCTTGAGCAAGGAAAAAACCGAGTCAGGTTGAGTTAGGGTTTCGAAATAGACATTCTTGGAAACTATAAGAGCAGATTTAGGAGGGAAACTACTTGAATTTATGAGGTAAGAAACAGTTAATGAGTGTTGATTTGTGGCACTTGAGATGCATCTGGAAGATGACAATATTGAGAATGATGAATTTTTTCCAACAACAGCAAGCCTTAAATTTTCGCCGAGAAATCCAAACATTGGGAGCTGAAAAAATTTTATTTACCTCATGAATTGTTGAACTTCACAACAGCAGCACAATCAAGGATGGATTCGAGCCCAAGAGAAATGGGTTCGTGCCCTGTAGTAGATTGGCTTTTAACAAGGGAAGACACCTGACTACAGAACCAGGCCAACCAGAGGTCGGAATTTCATGCTAGGATTCGAACCTTAGTTCTTTCCTATAAGAGTTAATTATAACTTAGTCCCTACAATTTAACAAAATTAATTAATTAATCCTCGTAGGTTTAAAATTATTTCTATCCGTACTTTTTTAAATCGTCCATAAGTTGATCATTCCTTATTCTTTTTTATTTATTTATTTTTTTTTTTTTAAAGAGAAAAGAGAGAGAGAATAAGAGAAGATGGAAAGATTTCAACTAGAAAATAAGGCATTTTTTAGGGGGGAAAAATCCAACTCAAGGTTAGTAATCAAGAGGCAATTTTTCCGAGAAGTACCTGTCAAAAGAAATAATTTAAATTAGAGAACTTTTCCGAGATCTTAGACTTGCAATTTGCGAATGGTGGAAAGCAATCAAGAGGCAATTTTTGTGTCATCTTGTAGTTAAAGACATAATTACTATTGTATTTTCTATGAAAAAATTAAACCTGGTTGTGAGCAATTATATAACACAAATACAATTAAGAAAAAATTAAAATGCAATTGGGAATTTGAGTTTATTTGTGAATTAATTTATTTTCTTTTGCAAGTTCTCAAATCACTGACAAATAAGTACATGCAATCCAACAATGAAGGTTATATATATATATAAGAGCCAAGTTCCCTTAGGCTAGCCTGCTCCAATTCATTTTTTATGTGTCAAAAAATTGAACCTGACATGCACTCGTCTTGAGAATGCAACTCTGCGACCTCAACATTTTCCATCTCATAGATCTTTGCAACACAGAGAGCTGTAAATTGCAAACAGAGGAGGAAGATCAAAACTACACCACGATGGGGGGACCTTCCATTTTATTTCTTACATGTGGAGGACAACTAAGATTAAAACAACCTTTTTTTATTTCATATTCCAACATTTCTGTTCAGGCTGAAGCCTGAAAGAGTTGCAAAACAATGCTCATACAACTGGGGATCGATCCAATCCTCATTATAGTAAGCACAACCCTGTCTCAATCGAGCATCTTTTCTAAGTCAAAAAGATGCATTCATCAAGCTAGCCAGAGTGTGCACTCAAATATCAGAGGCCAAGGATCCAAGAGTAATCTGGAATTTCATGCTTGTGCAGGTCAATTGTAGATTGTTCTCATCGTGCACTGTCAGCTAAAGCGTGTAAGAGCCCTGTGTTTGACTGCAATACTGTTAGCTTGATTGCCAGGTTTGAGATGCCAGCAATATGAATATTGTTCATCAAGGAAGGAAGAAAATATGAATTTGCAATGCCCAAAACAGAAAGTTGATAAAATTGGCCTCAGCACAAAGTTAAGTTGCCTTGAGCAAAGACTTACAGGTGGAGTGATTGCATGTAAATTTTGGGTGTGAGACAGAAGAAAGTTGCCTACAGAAATGGAGCAGGATGTCTCCTGTCAAAGATCAATAGTTTCTGTACAGATATGCATCCCAAACAAAGAAACAACAATCATCACTTTACCTCCAGTGATAGGTTGACCTGCATTAAAGATACAAGGTTGTAAGATAATTAAGGTTGCGAGCATTATAAACTAACTACAATCTTGAAATCCAACAAGTCATGAAGTCAAGGATTTGTTTAGATGAACAAAAATTTAAACATACAAGCTGCTATCAACAAAATTAAACATGCCAAGTAAAACATCTAGATCACACGGGTCAAGTTACGAAATACATAAATATAAAGAAGAATCAAGAATTGGAATTTACTTATAGAGGCAGAGATTTTAAAGCTAGCTGGCCTGCCTGGCTGCACTGGATTTGGTGATGTCTCAAAATTCTGGGCACTAACAATATCTTGCCTGGACTCATCTGCATTAATTACGGATTAGGTTTAGAACAACCAAACAATCACAAAGAGAGAGAAAGAAATTTGTTATACTGTGACTGCCTGACCACAGAACGTGACATGTCCAGCTTGAATTGCTCTGAAATGAAGAAAAAGGAAAGAAAGAAGCAGACAGTAGATTGCCAAGTGGAGGAAAGGAACGTCCAAAATTTAACTGTGATCCCGGGTTTCAATAAAGAAATGAGGAAACCTCAATTTAATCCCAAACCAAATTTATAATTTTATTAATTAGATTCTAAATATTTTTAATGTTTTTCGGCTGTATCCTTTTATCATTTTCTTTGAATAGTTTAAATGTAATATGTTTATTTTATGAATTAAAATGATGTCGATTCAAAGAAAATTTGAAGCAATGTTCTTAACAATTGACAAAAGGAGAGAAGTTGATGTACCAAAATGTTCTTAACAATTGATAATTTTTTTATTAAAAAAAACAATTTATATTTTTTTCAAATCTTGAAGTTAGCACTTCATATGTATATATATATATATATTAAAGTCTTCTGAATATGCTAAGGCGACGTCGGAGATGCATTTTTGAATCATGAAAACAAAAAATAAAAATAAAACGTTAATCTCAATTAGCACACAAACTAACCGAAGATATTAGCTTTCTTAGTGAAGCAATATTTAATAACTTTATTTTCTTTGATTATAATGTAATAATAGAATGCTATCCAGTTCCCACAATTGTGTAGTTGAAGAGTTATTAGACATTGAAGTAACTTGAAAAAACAATAATTCTAAAAGATTGGTATGGTGATTAAGAAAGTTCTGTTCTTTTTCTTTTCTTTTAGATTCAAATATTGGAGGTAGCATTTAAAAAAATATTAAATTTTTTTAAATGCATTAGACCGATATAGGAAGTGCATCCTTAAGATCGTTTAGGAATAGGGATGACAATAGATCGAGTATGAAACATATACTCACTCTATCCAACTTAATAAATATATATTAAAAATTTCTAACCAAAAAAAAAAAATTTACATACTTGCTACACTTTATAACTTACTAATATTCATTATTTTAAAAAAAAATTCAGAAATCTGATTGCATGAACTTTATAAAATAAGGACAAAAATGTTTTTTTATGAAAACTTTTAGGATTAAAAACAATTATAAAACAAGGACCGTTGAAAAAAATTCAAGGGACAAATAACTTTTTTGAAAAATTATAGAGTCTAAAATAAAATATTATGATAAATTATTTTTAACGAGTATTAAGCATATATTAAATGGACACAGATGAATAGAAAATGAACTAAATATAAATTTAAAGGGTAATTTCTTAACACTTACAAATATAGTATGTTTCAATGGATAACTTAAGCGATTGAAATAATGGATCGAGCACCAAATTTATTGTCATCTCTATTCAAACCTTCGGGCTAAAAAAATATTAAATTTTTATGAATACATGATATCTATATAAAAAATACATTTTTAATATAATTCGAGAAAAAAAATTAGTTTTGATTAATGTGTAAACTAGATTTGAAAACACTTGCTATTGAAAAAAGAAAAGAAAAACCTAAAAAAAAAATCAATATTTTTATCTTGTCTTATGCATAGGATTCGGATATAATTATAGAGTGGATCACGATTGCACGGTAAAAAGTAAAATCAATTGCAAGTGTACTGAAAAAAAAATTCCAAGTTAAATTTACCTTATACATGATTTTTTTTTAAGACCAATTTTCATATATTAAAAAAAAAACTACATTTATCAAATCTTAAACAAATCATCCATATTCCAATAAGTAAATGTATTCAAAAAATAATAATTTTCTTCTGAAATTATTGTGTATGAAACTATAATATATAATTTGTTAAAGATTACTGAAGGGTAACTAACTAACGGAATAAATAAATATATAATTTGTATGGTAGGCAAAAGAGTAACCAACTTAACGTAAAGAACAGGCTGTCTGGTGTTGGTGGAGCACCAAGTTGCAGTACTTACAAAGAAAAGCAAAGAATCTTCTAAAGATTTTGCAAACACGTACCCTTGTTATTACTACATTAAGCTAAATCAATGAGAATTAGTTTACAGTCAACTGGATAGTTACTACTATTCAAGAAAATATCACCAATTATTATAGAGGGGCGATTGGCAAGAAATTATGGATCGCTTGATCCGCAAGATCAGGCCTTACCTTCTTGCTTGGCTTCGCCGATCTCGTTCTGGTACTTTCCTTTCTTGATTTCCTTTCCTTTTTCTTTTCCTGGAACAATCTTTGCATACGGATAACAATGTCTCATGTGATCTTTTGAGTTCTTTCTCAATGGCTCTGTGAGTGTGATCGTGTTATTATGGTTTGACCACTACTTTCTTGTGATTTAATTAGTTCATGAATTTCGATGAATTTTATACTTGGAAATGATAATCTGTTGAAACCCTGAACTCAACTCTGCAGAATCTTAATGGGATAGTGCTCAACTTTTGTAGATTTCTTGCATTGGAGTTTTGGTGCTAGGTATCCAAACTTAGAGTGAAAAAAATGGAAAATTAAGAAATGGGTTTTCACTTGGTTAATGAGAAAGTCCTCCTATTTTACTGAATGCAAGTAAATAACCATCTTGACGTACTGGATTTTGTTGAACGGATTAGCTAGCAACAGTGGGTTGAATGGCATTATAATTGATTATGCATGAAATGTTGTTTTGGTTTGATTAAGATTTTCTGAATATATGCAATGTGTTCTGTTTCATGTCCAGTATCATTAGTGAGGCGCTTTTCGTACAAAGACATAAAGAGGGCGACGGATGGTTTTTACCGGATAATATACAGCAATTCTCATGGCGCTGCCTACAGGGCTAGATTTCAAGATGGTGAGATTGCGTTGGTAAAAGAAGTAAGAGACTCGAATAAAGGAAATGATTTTTTTCTCAAGGAAGTTCAACTTTTGGGGCAGCTGCATCATCGCCACCTGCTTGCACTTAAAGGCTTTTCCATAGGACATAAGAGGTTTGATGCTTGACTTTTGAATAGTTTTATTTCAAAAAGGATTTCCAGTAGATAATACTTCATTGTCTGTAAAGCATAAAGATTTATAGTCTAAGCTTATCGTGAAGATTTGAAGAAAAGTGCATACGGTGAGTTTGAGTATGTGTTTTTGCATCAGTGCATGTGTGATTCTCAGGGAGCAAACTATTTTCTGGTGCAGGGGGTAAAGGGATGGGCAGTCGTAGGTTTTAATCTTACGTAACAAAATTGTGAAGAGCATCTCACTGATGCTTCACATTATGATGTAACCATGAGTTTACATTGGCCACTTATGATCAAGTGATGCGTGGTTTTGATTGAAGGGCCAAATGTGAATTTAAAGCTGTTAAACGAACAAACATGGTCTGTTAATTTAACAAAATAATGTTTTTCTCAAAATATTTTGAGATTCGAAGCCCATAATTATCGGTTTATGTTCCTTCTCAAGCAAATCTGTCGTCGTTGATTACGATGATGCACTGGAGCAAAGACTGCTTTGTTCTTTATATTTACATGTTTGCATTAACGCATTTTGCAGGTTGCTAGTGTTTGATAACATAGAAAATGGAAGCTTGAAGGAACATCTCAATGGTAATAATCTTCAGGGAAAAATTTATATCTGATGATCCATGGTTGCAAACTTTATTTCTTAACCAGTCATCGACTCTTGGCAGATCCTCTTAAAACTCCCTTGAATTGGCAGACAAGGTTACAAATAGCCATCGGTGTAGCGGCTGCCTTGGTAAGTCATGAATAATGATATTGAAATATTCCTAGCTTTTAGCACAGAATCTACCTGCAAGATCGCCTACTTAGTTGCATTGTGCTCATGGTTATTCGATTCTGCAGGAATATTTGCTTCTCTTCAGTAACCCACCAATATATCATGTTTCCATCAAGGCAAGTAATATAATGCTAGATGAGAACTACATTGCAAAGGTATGTTTATATTTCTTTCCTTTCCATTGATGGTATATGAATCTCAATATAGTTCAATTTCTTATGTTTGAGTTGTGTTGGTGGTGTCAAACTTGAGAAGGACATTATACAGTAAAGCATCGTCCCTTTTCTCTTGACAGATCTCTGATGTCAGCCTTCTTAATTCCGTTGGTGATTATGTGACAATGCCTCATTCCTCGAATTCGGAAGGTTCTTTTCAACCATCGTCCTTGCAAGGAATTCAGGATGCTTTCTCAGAAGTACTGCTTGTAACTGTTTTTCGTGTCTCATATTGCACTGCAGATTGTATGGACCACACATGTGGAAACTTAACATTTCAGCTTGGCGTGCTAATCTTGGAGCTGATAACTGGTCAATCATCAGAAAAAGGAAGCACAGATTTAATCCAGTGGATCCAAGGGTCCCGTTTTCGCAACTCAATTCAGAAGATGATTGACCCTGATCTGGGAAACAGTTATGACTCGAAAGAGCTTAAAAATCTTCTAGCTGTAGCGAGATTGTGTATAAAATCCGGGGATAAGCCAAATTTCTCTATTCCCCAGATATTTAGGTACCTCCAGAAGAAGGCAGAAAATACATTTAATTAGTGCCCGCACTCTCAGACTCCTTTTAAATGCAATTCTTTCATTTGTTGGAATCCAAAACCACCGTCTCCCTGTACTCTGTTCCTTTAAACCACAGTTTCTTTATCCAAGGATACTGGATTCTACAGGATGGACATCAAGCAACGCTCTCCTTATTAGATGCATGAACTCTGTGGCTTTACCAGAGATATTCTTTTTTTGGCAATTACTGGACCCATAGTACCTAGCAAAGTGGTTCCATCCAAACTCTACAAACCAGTTGTGGTAAAAACTAGCAGGAAATGAAAATATAGAAGGCAAAAGCAGTGCAAGAAGGCAGCCAATAAATCGAAAGATAAAGCCATTAATCTTATCTAGGACAACAAAACATTAAACATTCATATTTCACTGTCAAGAGTAACATATTGTGCCATAATGAAGGTCGTTCCCGAACATTTTTCAAAATCACCACAAGTTTCACAAGTTAAGTGTTGATTTTTTCACTCTAGATGACCACAGTGCCCCCCAACAACGCTTCCAGTCCAAAGTTACAGTCAACCCTTGGGTTTCCTCATTCCTACGCTATGCAATTCAGTTCACTCACTGCTGGGCGCATTGGACCCTCTGACCACCATGAGGCATGCCCTCGTCCTCATCATATGCTTCCTCACGAGCCTGCTGCTTCCTTCTCATTTCCTCTTCAATGTTAACGTCGTGCAGTGTAGTCTCCTCACACTCGTCCAGCTCCATATCTGTCAACTGACTTAATGGCCTAGGCAGAATAGCCTCAATTGCTTTAATCTGATCAGGGGTCAGAGAATCGGGGAAATCCACAGTGAAGTGGATGTACAACTTCCCTTTCATGAATGGCCTTTGGTACATTGGCATACCCTCATCGTTGATTGCCTTAAATGAATCTGCATGTTGCATGAGCATATATCAATTATTATACAATGGGCATCAAGCAGGGAGTCGACTCGAATTTCAGTTATCCATCCACATCACTTACCAGGTTTGACAACTTCCCCAGGATTCGATTTGATAAGAAGCTGCCTGCCATCAAGGTGTGTCAATACAAAGTGGAAGCCACAAAGAGCCTCAGTGAGGGACAGAGTGTGTTCCACAAAAAGATCATCTCCCTTCCTCTTGAATTTTGGATGTTCCTTCTGCTGAAGGATAAAGACTATATCACCAGTGACTGTATCCGGCTGCAAAACATCAAACACGTCCAGTTAGTGATACTCAAAACAACAGCACAGTCCAAATTAAAAACAAGGATACTCAACACACCGCTTCGTCAGCTTCGCCAGGGAAAGTGATCTTCTGTCCATTCTGCATACCCTTCTCCACTATAACTTCCAAAACCTTCTTCTCTGCAACAACCTTCTCTCCCTTGCACTGTGGGCAACGATCCTTATCACTAATTCTCTCCCCTGTTCCCTTGCATTCATTGCAAGGATGCTGCATCTGTTGAATCATTGAAGGGCCAAGTTGCCTTATGGAGACTTTCATGCCACTTCCCTGGCAGCCAGTGCACTTCATCGACTCTCCAGATTTCGATCCTTTTCTGTTGTGCATCATGCATAGTAAATCCCACGTCAACAACACAAACACATTCCAAATAGAACGCTTAACAAACCATACACGTAACACTGAAATACTCACCCGTTGCATTTAGAGCAAATCACATTCCGGGTTAGAGAAAGCTTCTTTGATGTGCCAAGGTACAGATCCTCCAATGACACCTTCAATGGATGAACCACATCCTCTCCCCTTCGCTGCCTCCTTCCTCGGCTACTGCCACCTACTCAACCGATGGGCATGATTAAGGGTCTACCAATGCTAGGGTTCGAACTTGATGACTATAAACAACACTAAAACTGACTGATATAAATGGAAGTTAAATGAATCTTACCACCGAAAGGATTCCCACCAAAGAAAGATTCAAAAATATCAAAAGGATTATGGCCAGCACCGCCACTGCCCATTCCTTCCTTGAGTGCTTCTTCACCATACTCATCATAAATTTCGCGCTTTTCAGGATCACTCAAAACCTCATACGCCTGGGCAAGCTCCTTAAACTGCAATAATTTTCAATAAACTCCATCATCACTCCTAATTCACCTTGAAAAGATGAATAAATTACCAAAAGCTAAAAGCCGAATCCCTAAAAATCCGAATTTACTAAGATAAAAGACTCCTCTAAACCAACTAAAATCTCCCTCTAATTGGAAAAATAGCTATAATCCTATCAACAATCACTACCAATATAATCCTATAAATCTCAACTTCACTATAATCACATGTCAGTAATTTAATTTATCCTCAACAACAGCAACAAAATAAAGACTAATTAAGATTAAAACATGCAAGAAAAATGATTCAACAAAATCAAAAAGAAGAAAGAAAAAACCCACATAGGTTCCTGAAATAACAAAAAAACAAAAGATTATACCTTCTCAGGATCACCACCTTTATCAGGGTGATTCTTGATGGCAGCTTTCCGGTAGGCCTTCTTCAAATCATCTTGACTGGCATTCTTTGACACCCCCAATATCTCATAGTACCTTGTGTTGTCACTCTTCTTTGGTGCTCTCCCAAACATCTTCTCTCTCTATTCACCGAATCAAACACCAAAAGAACGAAAACCCTCTATCAAGAACTCTTTGTTTTGGCTTCTTACAGCGTTGTATCTGTGCGTAGAAGGCTCTGGACACGCAGAGAATATGCTAATTCTTGGAAATGGGTTTGGGTATTTATAGGAGAGAAGCTTGGGCGTGGTTTGTTGATGGACGGTTATGATTTCGGCCCTTTTTTTTTTTTGAAAAGGAAGGGTCTAGAATTTGATGATTTTTTCGCTCTCTTGTTTTTGAGCGTTTCGTGAGAGCCGGGAGGTGAGCGCCTTCCATTGCTCTTCTAGACTCTTTCCTTGAACGTCTCATTCCCGCTTTAATTCCGAAAAGAATATAGAGAAGGAAAGTGATTCTAATTTGGTCTATGTTTTAATTTTTCGAGATAAGAAACGTTTTTCCCTTGGGAATTTGTTTTCTCACAGGCTGTTTGGTTTTTTTTTAATCTGCTTTTTATTTTTTGTTATTGTTATCAAGAAAATATGAACTTGTTTGTTTGCTTGATTTTTCTTATATATATATATATATATATAGTGCATTTAATCTAAGATTGATATTAGTTATTGAAATCGATAGAGCATCCATTTGAATCTCTATTTCTTTTATGTGTAATATTCTTCTATGGACTTGTTATTCTAACATTTGTTTTGATTTTTTATATTACATTAAGACATGCATACATAAATATGATAAAAGTCATTTTTTGAATAAATCATTTTAGCCTAAATAGTCTACCCTATAATTTGTCATTCATTAGTCACATTGAGCATAATTAACCTTTTTTATTGTATCCGTAACCCATTACAAGTCATTTTTACTTAAAAACATATGTCTTTATTGGACTTTTGGAATTAGTAGAGCATTTACTAAGGGTATGAGTTTTTGAACAAGTGTAGTTGTGTAACGGTATGGAATTCAATAAAAAGAGAGAGCGAGAGGAAGGGATTTGGTTTGTTTTGATTGATTTGTTTTTGAAGAAGATGAAGTTTGAAAAAAATAAAAATAAAGAAGAGATTGATTTCTCTCTTATTATGACATAATCTAAATGAGAAAAAGTTGATGGAATACATGACAGTTCTAAAAAAAGAAAGAAATGGTCATGTTGTTCATGTTCTATCAAAGAAAGTTCATTGTTTATGTGTGCAAAAGAAAATAGAGAGATGAAGAAGAAAGAAAGAAAAAAAGAAAGGAAGGGAAAAAAATAAAAATTGATAAGCATTCGAAATTGAAATGATAGGCTTCGAGTCCAAATAGTTTATGTTTGAATGCTTTATTAATTTCTTGGTTTATACTTTCATACCCATATAAGTTTCTTACCTTTTACCTTAGCCCCATCACAACATTATAAAAAGTCTTTTTGATTTGTTTTATGCATGTGGTATAAGTAGTGAAAATTAGATTATAAGCAAGCTTATGATAGTATATTTTTCATGAAATGAACTTGAAGAGAGAAACACTTATCTTAAACAATTGAGAGTTAAAGAGTTTAATCTATGAGGGTCTACCAATTTAGGTTACTCTGTTTTAAATGAAAATTACTCGTATTAATTAATTCTTAAGTTTTCAAAGATGTTGATTCATGATGTGTTATGGTTCTTAAGAATTTTAATTTTTTGCTTGCTTGTGAATTTAGAATCTCGATATTATTATTGAAGGAGGTTAGTATTGAGTATTAATTTACTTGTTTTGTCCAAGGACGTGCAAAAGTTAAGTGTGGAGGAATTAGATAATGAGCATTATTAATTATATTTATTTTCTCATATTTAGTTTTTTTGATGTGATTTAGGTTAAACATGCTCGAATTAAGTTTATTTTATGATTTAGGAGGTAATTAGAGTCAAAGGAGCAAAAGTATGCTAATGTGGATGAAATTTCAATACCGGCGGATTGACAATAAGAGGAAGAAACAAGAATTGTACATCCTTAGAGCCCTAGATCATAAAAAAGCCTTCTCGAGAATCGAATTGGACATCTTAAGCTTTCTCGATTAGGTTTAAATGCACAAATCAATTTTGTTTTGAGCTATCAAAGTCAATTGTGAAGTTAGGGAAGAAATTCGGATCCTGTTATAGTCCAAAATACTGCCTAGTGTTTGTACCATATATCTAGATTTATAGACATTAGATTAAGATGATTTAAAATCTTATAGAAATAAGACATCTAAAATTACAATCTTCATGAAGAGCTCGTGTAACGCCTCCGTCCTAGGACCTAGATAGACCGAAGGTATTATTGATATTGACTTACATTTGGCATGCAATGAATGTAAGCCAGAAGCCTCCTCTCTTATCTTAACTAATGCATTAGGGGAAGTGGACATTTACTACCTTAGGTCCCTACAAAGTATGGGGTACTAGGTCCTCTTAAATCAAATTTTGGGTCTAAATTTTCCTTTTCTTTAGGTTCGTTAAACCTTACTAATTTCATTTAAACCTCTTTTAATCATTTAACCATTTCATTTTCTTTTGATCTTACCCTTAACTTTCATACGTAGTCTCTTTACTCGTCATTTTGATTTACAATCATTTTCATAATCCTAATCATATTAGTCATCTATGCACCCCGTAATAACCCAAATTTTTCTTTTTTTATTTTATTTTGTATTTTGTATTTTTATTTATTTTATTTTTATTTTTATTTATTTTATTTTTTCTTTTTTATTTTTTATTTTTTGTTTTTTGTTTTTAGTTTGAAGTTTATTAAGGAAAAAGAAAAAAAAAGAGAAGAAGAAAGAAAATGATGAAAAAAAAACAAAAAAATTCATTTAGGGATACAATTGAAGTAATTAGAGGTGTAATCGAGTCAATTAAAAAGTTTAGTCCTTAAATTGCACCTCCAAGGACCTAATTGTTGAGATTATACTGAAATTATTTCGTAGAGGGCATAATCGCTGAAATTGAAACTCAAGAACCGAAATGGAAGTTTGGAGCGAACGACGAGATCGAAATGGAGCAAACGACTCGTCGTTCGCTCCAAGGTAGATTCTCTTCGAAAATCTTTGGGAGAATCTACCCAAATCCTCCATGAATTTCTTGTTTTTGATTGTGTATTAATCATGGATCTTGTTGCCAAAACCAACGCTAACGAGAATCAATGAGAATTTCCTATTTCGATTTCACAATTAACCATGGTTTAAAGAGGAAAATTTGATGTAAAATTTTGAGATTTGAGATTCAATTCTCGGAGAAATTTTTGAAAATTTGGTGCTATAAAACGTTAGGAATTTCGAAGAAGAAGGGGAGAGGAATTCGATTTGAGAGATAGGAAATTCAAGCAAGGAAAAAACAAAAGATTGATTTTTTTCGATTTTTATTAGCGTAAATTTTTTGGGTTTGTTTGGTTGAAGGTTTTCCTTTCCGGGTTTGTGTTCTTCAACCCGAATCGATTTGAAGCATCCCTAACCTTCATTCGAGGAAGATTTTGGTTTTTAGGGCAAAGGAAAGGAAATCGAGAATGATATTTCAAGGAATTCGTGAAGAATTAGTGTTCGGTTCGTCGCATTTCGGGTTTTCACCGAGTTTCTTCGGGTTTTGTTCTTGATATTCTTCCCGTTTTCCAAGTCGGTCTTTGGGTTTTGAATCTTTAGTTTCTAATTTCGTTGTGGTTTTAGTTTCAATCGTTGGGTTTATTCATGTTCTAAATAGCGGTTTATGTAATCAAATCTTTCCTTTTAAAGAGGGTCCTTAAATTGTGAAATAGATTTGAAGAACTAGGGAGAGAAAATGAAGAACATGAAGAACGAGGAGAGAGAAAGAGTTATGAACTTGAAATTTTGGTTTTTTTATCCGAAAAATAAGAAATGAAAACGGGTGGACTTGTTTTTGGGCTTAAGCTTGACCCACGAAAAAAAAAAAGGAAACGAAAAGGCTGGACCCCCTTTCGAGTCCAGCCCATCATCCTTTACCAAAAAAAAAAAAAGAAAAAAAGTGTGGGCTGGACTCGCTCGTGTCCCTAACCCAAAACAAAAAAAAAAAATAAGGGGGAAATGAAAAAATAAAAATAGAATTAGGGTAGAAAAATTATAGGGATGGATATATATATATATATATATATATATATATATATATATATATATATAGAAGAAGAAGAAGAAGTAAAAGTGATAGGTTAATATTTTAGGTATAGATTTTTTTTAATTACTTTTATTGTCATTTATTTTGTTTAGCTTGTTTATATAGGATGATTTATTTATTTAATTTTTTTTAGCCTCGTTTATTTTATTTCTTGTAGTTTTCCTTTATTAATTTAGAATTTTTTCAATTTTTTCCTTTTCTTTAATATGTATTGCTAGAAAAAGTATATATATATATATATAAAAAAATTTTTACAAAGTCTCCTATCCGATAGGGACCGACGTCACAAAAAAAAATACCCTCAAAATTGGCGAAGCCTCCTATTTTATAGGGCCGACGCCATATAAAAAAAATCACCTTTTAATTAAGATGTCCTCCGACACGTCGGTTGTGTCAAGGCTTTTAGTGGATCCGATGTTTGAATCAACGTGTCACCTAATTAAGGGGACCGACGATTGTTTCAATATGATGCCACGTCCAAAACTAAAAAATTTATTCAATCTAAAAAATAGGAGAATAAAATTTAGAAAATAGCTTGACATAGATTTTAGAAAATAATCCGTAACTAAACCGTACATGGTACTTTTTTTTAAAAATGGCGCTTTTAGGTGATTTAATATCTTTGTAAAAGCGTAACCAACTCCTTACCTTAGGAATCTCTAAACCAAGTGCTACTTTTAGGTTCCTAGTTCCCGAAATACTAGGTGGCGACTCTAAAACTCCGTAAATAATCTTGTAATTAATTAACGCCCGAACTCATTAATTTTTTCTTTTGGGGGTCCCGTCCGACGTCGTGTAGCGACACACCCATAAGCTAAAACTAACAAAATTGACATAATAACAACTTAACCTTCAATTAACACTTTCATGTACACCAAAATAATAATTATTTAATTGATCTA